CCCATCCATCCATCCCTCGTCCGCCCTAGAGCGTCGCCAACTCCTCTCCCCCTCTCCCTCCGCCACCGTTTTATTTATTATCCGGACGGGGGTTGTCCCACCGACCGTGGCCAACTTTCCACCGCGGCTCGCTGAACCGGCTCCACGCGGTATTTGGTGCGTGAACCGCGCATTCATCGTCGACGCGCTCTCTTTCTCACCCCTCGAGCTTCCATCCATCCAGCGGCTTTTTCTCCTCTTCCTCCTCCACGCGTCTCAGAAACCGCCTTTCGACTAATTGCGGCCGCGAGTGAAAGACGCGCAATAATGAATATCTTCTTTTTCGTGGAGGCTCGCGACCACTTTTCTTTCTTTCTTTTTTTTTGATATTTAAAGAGATGCCACGTCACGGAGTGGAATTAGATTCGTGAAGGATAACTCATTTTCGAATTCGGGATTTTTTGGCAGTAATTTAATATTCGATTTTCTGACGATAATGAAATTTAGCTTTAGTAAATATTCTCAAGAGAAGAATTGAAAATTACATCAAATATATCAACGGATTCTAATTCCAATCCGTTTATCGAACGTTGGAGAGAATGAAAAGTTTGGTGAACGCGGAGGACCGGAAATTCGTATAATAGGGAGAGATAAATCGTGACCATTATAGAACGGTGCACGAACGAAACTATTAATATCCCATCGCAAAAGCAGACGTTAACTTGGTCGCGGGTTGAAAGCCTATAACGGGTCGGATACTCTGGCCCGGCGTTAATACGTAAATGCGTATTGATAGTGCGCGCAAGCGGCACAGACGAAAGATGCTCGCATTATTACGTGAAATTACAATAGATCACGGCCCATGAATCGCGCGTGTTCGTTACGCCGTTATAGAAATTTACCGCTCCTCGAACCAATTCTTCCTAACGTCATACTTTTTACGTTTCTTCGAACTCGTCCAAATTAATTATTTCGTATTGCACAGTAGATTCGCATATTCCTCTTCACGTGTATACTATAAGCGATAATATTATTATTTAAACGTCGATTTCTCATTTCTCTCTTCTTTCAAAAAAAATGATAGATCACTAAATACTTTCTCCTAAACGATTTTCAAATTCGAATCTCGTGTTTCGTGGATTCGGACGAATATCGTAAAGTCGCTTCGCATCGAGATTTTATATCCGTTTCGAAATTGAGCACGGTATTGGAGGAAAAATTGGATGATTTGTTTTTTTCTCTTTTCTTTTCTTTCTTTTGGGGACAATACAGTCTGGTGGATATGCATTATGTATAACGTGGGACTAGGGATTTGGTATGAATGTTTATCGCGGGCTCCGTGAATATTTCCCGGAGAATAACGATTACTGGGAACCACGTGCTGTGCAATTTCGCTCGCGACACCGACGATCCTTAAAACGCGATCCCCGAAGGACCACGTGGCACACTTTTTAATCTTTCGTTGCTTCGTGAAGTATTTCGAAAGAGTGGTGATATATTTTCTTTCTTTTCTTCTTTTTCTTTTTCTTTTTTTTTTTTTCTTTTCTTTCGGATGCTCGTCGTTTGGAATGAAAATTTTTTCGCGCTGAGAAAATATGGAAATTCTTCATGATTCGCGATGAATTTTTTTGTATTTTTATATTTTATGTAATTTTAATAAGAGTATATATATTTTGATACTTCTTTTTTTTTCTATATATTAGAGATTATTCATAGAGGTATTCTTTCCTGTGTGTTTCTAAAAAATAATTAGAAACAAGAATTTTCATTCACGAATTTTAACTTTCTTGAAAATCTTTCGCGTTAGAAACATTCAAAATAAAATTCCTGCAATAATTGAACTCAAGTCGTCGTAAAAGTTCCAAAACACACAAAAAAAGTCAATGCATTTACTCACCTCGATATATAACTTTGTTGAACACGCTGGTTATGATCTGCAGTTCAGGATTTAACGTCTCTCCAAGCTGGAACAGAGAAAAAAAAAAAAAGATTTCTTTTGAGTATCGATAGTTTGAATATCAAAATAAGAAAGAGAGACAAGTGTTGTACTCTCTCGTTCATTTTATATCCTAATACGTTTTTCATCGATTTCCCATGAAATGGGAGTCTCGACGCTGCTAAGTGCACCGCATAAAGAGCCGTTTCGAAACTTCCACGCTGGACGGCCATTAAAGGTAACCATAAAAGGCTAAAACCGACAGGCAACTCTGTAAAGTAACGATAAATAATAAAAGCTCATCGAGGGTGGATCGAGAGTTTCGTCGTTTCCGCCTGATGGAACGATCTTGATTACCGATCTAAAAGATTCGCAGATCGCGAATTCGATGAAATTTTATATCTTTCCTCTCTTTTGAAATGGTATATTATTTACTTAAAAAAATACAATAATAACACGAAATAAATTGTCAAGTAAATAGCAAAGAGAGTAACGTTCTATGACCGACGTTCCATTTTTTTTTCTTGCAACTTGAAAACTCAAAGTGCAATTTTTCCAGAAAAATTACATCCACATATATGAGATAAATTTCTCTTAACAGGAAAATTAAAAATTAAGATCCATTTAGATTTCAGGATGTTAAAAAAATTAATCGAAATATCGTCCATATTCAAAATGATTTTAATCTGGAATTTAGATATGATTACTTCGGTTATTGACAGATTTTACGATCTTTGGCCATAGTCTTCGTTTTAATACCATTTTTACCCCGCCTATCCTCGTTCCTCTTTCAACGCAAGAGTCTCGTTAGTGAAAGTTGGAAACGACTTTACGAGTGTCATCGTTGTGCTCCGTTTAGAAATTCATGGCGTTTTATGGTTTATCCGTTATTCAGATCCGCCATCGTGGTTGACGTGGAAGAAGTGTTAACACCCAACTGTCTTCCGATCAATCCAATATTTCCGATGAAAACGAAATAAAATTTCAAAAACGCGGAGAACAATTTTTATTTTCCAGATTTAACGTTTTTCGAAAATTTTTATATTATTCCTCGATTTCTGAATCGCAAAAAACGCGATATTGCAACAAACGCGGTGATGAGATTTTTAAAATATTCTCTCCAAGTACCGTGGAAGGAGCTGGAAGTAAATATTCTTACAATATCCGGTGTAATTATCGCGTCTTCATCCGGCGGACAAAATAGAGGTAAGCTGGATTATTAGCTTCCGAGCGCGATAACTTATTAAGCGATAATAAAATTTTCAGCTGCTCGTAATAAAGCGGAATCAATGGCCGGGTTATCGTATTATACAGATCATTCGGTTTAATAATTTAAACGAAACGATTATTGCTTTCTATTCTTGCCATGTTAGATTTAACATTTCTTTCTAAACACCGATACCTGATAACAATCAACGATTAAATTCCTTTCAAATTACATACATACATATATCTAATACTACATTTCTCAAAAATTTCATCGACCAATCATTACACAGATCTCTCCATAAAAATTACAAATATAGCTGAGATATCCTATCCTATCATATCGATTATAATAACACCGCTTCTCGAATTCACGGACACAACTTCTCGACAAAGAATTTCCAGACGGTAGCGGCGTGCCAAGCTTTAACAGGTGCTCGATCTAAGTAACAGCGTGGCGAGGGTGGCGGCTGTTGACGGGTGTGATTCAAACGGATTATACCCCAGGGGATGTGTCGGAGGGATAAGATCGAAATGAGTCGTCGGTGGCACACACCTTACCCTGTCAACAGTACCCTCGAACAATACCTGGGTAAATCAGCTCTCACCCGGATATTTTCAGTGGCCGCTCGTTTTCACCGGGATGGATTTATCGACTCGAGTTTTAGCCAGTTTTGTTCGTTGGATCCTTGACGCCCCTGGATGGGAATTAACGGTGGCCGGGGTTTTAATGAATGCGGGGCGAGGTGGCGGAATTATATTGGAATGTTTGCGTTGATTGAGGGGGATGGGGAATGGCTCTTATGCAATTTTTTTTTTTTTAATGTAACGTTTTCGCTTGAATTTTTCTTCCTATTCCTCTTTCCCTCCCTTATATCTCGAAAGAAAATCTGGAGTAGAAGTAACGCTATGTTAGAATTATTGGAGAACGTTTGGGTCGATGAAAAGAAAGATGCAGGGTGGCTGATGATTTTTATATTCTCCCTATCCTTTTCTATCTTAATTATCTCCTCGAAAGGAAGAAAAAAGAAAAATCCTCTCGATATTATATTATCTTGTTTCCTGAAAATATCCAAGCAAATGATCCATATTCCAAACGCCCCTCGTCCTTAATGCATCCTCTCCCCCACTCTCTCATCCCCTTTCTTCTTGCCCTATGTCTCACGGTCGCGCTAAAGACCGTGAAAAAGGAAGGAGGGAGGGGTGGAAGTGGAGGACGGCTCGCAGCGAGACCTCGAAAATTTATTCCGGAGGGGATGAACGGGGGCAAAACCGGCTGCGATGAGCAAGCTTTTTCGCGAGGATGCGCGCGCTCTTTCTTCCCGTCCCGGTCTCGCGTCGTTAATTCCACTGGTTTTGGCGACCACTGATTTTGGGTAATGATTTGGAAACTTTTTTTGCAGGATTTTTGTGTCATTAGCGGTTCAACGAATTCATCTCCTCCGGAGGGGGGAGGGAAGATTACGCTCAGAAGGGGAGGGAAGAACAGCGATTCGGTGTTTTTTTTTTATGAACGTTGGTACGCTGACGATGGATGTTAATAAGGAGGAGGGTAATTTTTTGACAAATTTTAAACAGTGGGTGTTTTGAATAATATACAAGGTTAGATGGTTATTCTTTGGGAAAGTGGAATTTGTTCGATGAAGGTTACTTTAAATTGATTGGAACGATAATGTTAGATTTAAGATCGACTCTAAGGGGAGTTTTCAATAATTTTTAATCGATATTATAATACATGGGATAAACGATGATTTCAATAGCGTTAGCCGATAGGCGAGTGTTTAAATGGAAATGTACGGATTCGAATATGATATTTTGGATTTAATTAATTCGGGGATTAATTCGAGGGAGATAGAAATTTCTACATAGAAATCGGCCGACTTGTTTCTGAACGGATAAACGAGGATAAAAGGATCGAATGACTTTCAATCCCTTTATTCATATTCGACGGGAGATTTCGCGATATACTTTTCAAATCACTCCCGCGTTCAATACCTCTTTCAAAAGATTAATCGAATCTGCAACGATAATATTCGAGAAACGTATTAAAAATCATTCCACGTCGTGGCGATAATTCGATAGAAGGGAAAATGGGACAAGTCAATGTTTCGATAAACAATCTGATTCCGTTGAATTATCGTGGCAGAAATCAGAGGCATAAACGCTTGTTTCCTGCCGTTTGTTGCCTCAGAATCGTGGGCTTTCCAGTTTCTTCTAGCGGAACGCCGCTTCCAGAGAGAGATGAACAGAGCAAAAGAGAGAGAGAGAGAGAGAGAGAGAACAGTGGATCGTCGAACTGAGAGAAGAAAATGCGAGGGTATGGGAGCGTGGTTGGAACGAGCTGGCGAAAGCAGAGCGTTTCCTTCGAAACTTTGGAATTTATTCTTGGAAGAAACGCAGCGCACCCGCGGAAAACCTGGCGGGTATTTGTCTAAGAGACTTCGAAATAATTGTTCCGCAATAAGAATGAACGAAACCTTTCCATACGGTTCCCCCTTTTTCATTTCCCTTCGATTTTATTCATAGGGATAATTTCATTGGATCTGTACGGGATGCGCTATTATAAATTCTCCCCTTCTAACTTTTTGCGCCTCCTTCACTCAGGTGAAATGTATCATTTTTTTTTAATCACGAATTCTTCTCCCTCAAGCGAGTTCTTTATTCGCTACTATAATTACTTCTATCCTAATTTTATCAAATAATTTCAAATATTTATTATCGATTTATTATTCTTAAGCTCCCTTCTTCTCGTAATTTCGTTTTCATCCCGTTTGGAATCAAATTAAAAGAGGGAGAGGAGAGTTTTTGCAAGACGAAATCAAGTTTAACGAATGTTATTTAGAATTTCATAAGGGAAATTCGTAACTTTGGTAATTTCCTTGGCTTTGATAGTAGCGGTTATTATGATAGAATAATTATTTCGATCGAAGGGACACAGTAAACACGCGATGCCTCGCTCGCAAACTCGACTTGCAACAAATTTCAAACTAGCATGAACCAAACTATCCCCCGATCTATAGTATCCTACACCCGCTAACTCTTGTTTCCGAATCCCTTGGCTCTTGTTATCCATCATATGAGAATTTCGTAACGTATTTTTTCCCCCGATTTCTATGTTTTCCCCTTTTAATAATGGGTCGATTAATTTAAACGAAATGAAATATAATCGAAATATTTATACTCGACGATGATGATATTGATTTATATTTTCTTTTTATTTGTTTCATTGTTATTTTATCGATCGTTTTATTTCTCGATACAATCCTCCATATTTATTTATTTATTTATTTATTTATTTATTTATTTATTCCCGAAATGAAAAGAATTATAAATGGTTTTTTTTATATATATATATATATATACATATATATAAAAATAATTCTCACGCATGTACATCCACATCCTCTGCTCATACGTATATCTCATGCATATTCATTTAGCTAGTAATCCCACGGTGGGCCGAGTGAAACGTTTGTTACAAAATTGATGGGAAACAGATGGAACGTACACTTTGCTCAACAATGTAAATACGTTCATGATAACAAAACGTTAATATACAAGAGAAAAATTGATTATACGCAATTTCAAATAATAAATCGTTCATACAGAAACAACGGGAGCCCACGAATTTATACAACCAGCGATTCGTTTTATTTTAACCTCATTTTATCGTTAGCAAATAAAATAAATCTTCGACACGATAAAACCATAAAATTCAACTTAAAATAATATTCCTGATTTAAAAAATGCATATATATATATATATATATATATACATAAAAATTTGCGCGGAAGAATTTTATTATATAACATCGATTTAAATTATAAATATGTACGGAATATCTTTCGATATAATAATATAAAAGATGAAAATGGAATATACGATTCAATTGTTCCCAAGGAAACAACAATTGTTTGCTTGTTTAGATCCCGCCAGAATTCTGTTCGTATTGTAACGTTCGGCTGCAAACGTAAACACTCGATCATGCTCTATTCCCCAAATATCCAAAGAAGCGAAAACATCATGCCTCCACGATTTCACAAATCGTCGATACCTGTTCCCACGTGTAAAAAAGATCTATTCGTGGTTTTATAATTTATAGACAAACAGCAGTAAACTACGAATACGTTAAATTACTGTAATTGTAGCAAACATTAATTTCTGCAGAAATCTAAAAATCCAATCGTTTCCATTTCCATACATAAACTCAAAAATTCAAATAAAAAAAAAAAAAAATAATAATTCACCCTTCTTCACTCTTCCATTCATTCAAACACTACAACATCAACCTTCATGATAACAATTATCCAAAAAAAAAAAAATTCACACACATCTCTCCACGCAATTTTTATCTCCAAAAATCCCCAAACGCTCCAAATTTACCCGAATTGAACGAACGAAATTTCTCCGCGATGCAAAGATCGATCAATCTCCTTACTTGCTTACCTGCACCATCAACGAGATCGCCACCAGCCCCTGACTCTTGTGCTGCGCCTCGCTCATATTGTGATACAATTCCGCGTTGTACCCGTACACTTGTATCTGGAACAGAGAGAGACACGTGGAACGTGAGGAAATAGGCGGTCAGGATTTATTTTTTTGATCGACAACAATCGCGATTTCCCTCCGTACTTCCCTCTTCTTGCTTTCGGCTCGCAATTACCGCCGACAAATTTCTCTGGGAACAGGGAGGAAGGGGG